TTTATTGTTTAATTACCAACTTTTTTCGCAGGCTAGTAAGATAAGCAATAATGAATTAGCGAGGTTAATGGCTACTCTTTACCAAGAAAATAAAAAGGTAATCGAAGAGAAAATTAGGGAAGTTGAAAAAAGGTTGGCAGTGGAAGAAAGACCGTGAAACAAAGATAAAAGCGAGCAATTATACTTGATAAAAGAAGAAATAATTAAAAACGAACTAGAATTAAAAAAAGCAAGAGAAGAAAATAAACTTTATAAAAATTTAGAAATTGAAAATGAGGGAATTAAAAAGCGATTAAGAGAATTACCCAAAATAATAAACGGGGAAGGGGAAAAAGAACCGTCAAATCAGACTGTTCCTGTCACTCCTCTTGTTCCTCCAACCCCAACTACTTTGGTTGGTGATAAACCGGAAGAAATTAAAGCAGAAGAATCATTAATTAACTGAGGGGAAAGTTATAAAAAACTCGTGGATGATTATCGAAAATTAGAAGAAAATTATCAATCAGAATTAACTGCTCGTCAAGAAGCCGAAAGAGCAAGAGACGAAAATCTAGTAATAATTAATAGTGCTCAAAAATATTTGGGTTGCGAAGAGCATCCGGTCGACTTAAAAAACTTGCCTGAAATGGATGATGACGACATGAACTTGGCTGCTTTAATAAAATGATGAAAAGAAAGTGATGGACTAATTGACGAGGAAACTGGTTTAGATATTTTTGATGAAAACGAAAATGGTTGTTTAATTGTTAATCAAGATAAAGTAAATGCCTATAAGGAAGCCAAAAGTCTTGTCGACGACTTGCCATCTAAAATGGGGGAAAATTGAAAAACTTTGCTAAGTGATTTGGTTACCAAGCAGAAATTAATAGTTGCAGCAAATTTTGGGGACGAAATTCAGCAGCAACTAATCGCCAAAATTTCTTCTGATTGCAAATTGACAACAGAGGAAGAAAGCACGGAACTAGCAGTGGAAGAATTAATTAGCCGTATTCAAAAAGTAATCCAAGGAGCCAAGCAGGAAAACGATTGACACCTCCGGGCTAACGAGTTAATTGAAGAAGGCAGAGATTTAACCCAACAACTCGACCAGGAAAAGTCTACTAATGCTAATCTCCAAGACCAAATCAACCAATTAACCCAAGATAAAAATAATTTTCAAAATCAATTGGCAGAAGCCAAAAAGGCCGGTTGAAAAGAAATTGGATTAGTAATTTCTGGGGTCGCAATAGGTTTCCTAACTTGGTGAAATTACTGGAAAAATAGGAAGAAAAAAATAAAGTCTTAAATATAAGCATTATGACTAATGCCCAAGAATGGCTAAATGCCAATATTCCCCTAAATCAAAGAGTTAACCTTAGAAAATTACTAATTTGTTCGGCAGCCCGCCAAAGAGAACAAAATTTAGGCCATGAATTCGGACATTTGTACGAACACATAACTGACCGTTATTATTTAGAAACTTCCTTGACAGGAACTATGGATTTATCGACTTTTCCTCATTTAGAAGAAATAATAGTGGAAGGTCATTTTATAAACTGCTTAATCCTTACAGGATGTTTTCATTTAAGAAAAATTCACGCTAGCGATAACTTATTAGGAGAAGTTATTTTTCCTTTTTGAGCTCCTGCATTAGAAGAAATTTTTTTAAGAAATAATAATTTTCGGCAGCAAAATTTATCTAGTTTTACTCGTTTTACACAACTAAAAAGGCTGTTTTTGGGAACTGATGACGTCGCAAGAATAAATCAGAGAATTTATAATCGTTGATGCGGTTCTCTCATGTATTTACTAACTTTAACTAAATTAGAAGAGTTAGATATTAATGCTACTGATATTAATTCGGGTTTAGAATACTTACCGACCCGGGAATTATTTTTTTTTCACTTTTGGCGATAAGAGTCGAACACAAGCCGGAGTAAATGATTTAAAGGCCGAAATAGAAGAATATCTGGAATTAGAAGCAGGTGAAACAATGGAAGACTGAGCTAGTAACGAGGAATTAGAAGCTAATATAGGTAAAGTAGAAGATATTCGGAATTGGCAACAAGACCGTCAACAAATACAACTTTTAACCGGGCTAGGAATAAGACGAGGAAATTAAAACTTGTCCTAGTATCGCAAAGGTGCAAATTTAATGTCCACTTTTTTGGAAAAACGCGCTTTTGCAAAAGCAAAATGAAAATATTATACTATACGAAATTAGTTTCAGTTCCTTATTCAACCAACTTCCTTGAATACTAAAAAACTAGATAAAATTAGTCGAGCAGTAATTTCGCATTTTGTAATATAGTAATTCCCCGAAATAAAAAAATAATTTAATATGAATAACAAAAACGAACCAGAAACAACAAAACCAAAAGTTACCGAAGCCGTAGAAAAAAGCCAAGCCACACCCGAAACCCCCGCCGCCGAAAAGTCGCTGTCCGAACCGACCCCTGCTGTGGACCAAAGCCCCGAAACGAACCAAGACTCCGAATTAGAAAGCCTGAAAAAACAGGTCGCTAAACTAGAAAATGATAAATTGCTGTTAGCCGCCGAACTAAAAAATGCCCAAAATAATTTCCAACGGCAAATGGAGCAAGTATACAAATACAGTAATAAAAGATTAGTCAGTTGGGTGCTGGCTTTTCTAGTTGATTTAGAGGAAAAGGCCCTGTCAGCCATGCGAGCGGACCCCGAAAGTAAAGTCAAGAACCATCTAATCGGTATAGAAATGCTCCGGAATATTCTCTGAAAAAACCTGGAAAATGAAGGGGTAAAACAAATACCAGTTACAGTTGGAAAGGACAAATGAAGCAGTCACCTTTATGAGTTAGTGGAGGAAGTAGAAAATGAGCAGTTGCCACCCGGCACCGTGGTCGAAGTAGTAGCCAAAGGTTATTTGCTCGCCGACCAGGTGCTCCGACCCGTTAAGGTGAAAATTAGCAAAAGCCAAACCTCGCTGGCCGAAGTCAAAACCGAAAGCCAATAATAAATATTAAAAAAGTTATAAAATTATAAATATGAATAGTAGCAGCGAAAGTAAACCAATAAGTAACAAAATCATCGGTATCGACTTGGGAACAACTAATTCCTGTGTCGCCGTTATAGATGGAAAAGAGCAACGAGTGTTAGAAAACCCCCAAGGAGACAGAATTACTCCTTCTGTAGTTTGTTGAGATAATATTGAGCAAAGGATTATAATTGGTAAGAATGCCAAAGGCCAAGCCGAAGTTAATCCGGAAGTGATAACTTCGATTAAGAGTGTGATGGGCCAAAGAGTAAAAAAAACTCTCGGTGGGAAAGACTACACACCCGAGCAAATTTCGGCCGAAATTTTGCGTTATTTAGTAAGTTACGCCGAGGACAAATTAGGCAAAAAAATCACTCGGGCAGTAATTACGGTGCCGGCTTACTTTAATGATAGCCAACGCCAAGCCACCAAAGATGCCGGAAAAATTGCTGGTTTGACTGTGGAAAGAATTATCAACGAGCCAACAGCCGCCGCTTTAGCCTACGGATTAGATAAGGCAGAAAGAGAACAAACTATCTTTGTTTACGACCTCGGAGGAGGAACTTTTGATGTTTCTATTCTCCAAATTTCCAAGAGCGGTGAGGGAGATATTTTTGAAACTATTGCCACTGCCGGAATTAAGGATTTAGGAGGAGATGATTTTGACCAAAAAATTGTTGATTATGTGGTTCAGGAAGTAAAGAAAGAAAGGAAAATTGATTTACTGTCCGAAGGGGAAACTGAAAATGATAGAAAAATAATTAAACAACGATTACGAGAAGAAGCCGAAAAAGCCAAAAAAACGTTGTCAAGCAGTTTAGAGGCCACAATTTCCCTTCCTTATATTATTCCACCGACTGGAGGTCGGTCACCCCACGTGGAAGTAAAAATCACTCGGGCCAAGTTTGAAGCCTTAACCAAAGATTATATGGAAAGGACCATGAAACAGGTCGACCAAGCTATCCAAGCGGCTGAAAAGAAATTAGGCCGAAGTTTGGCTATCGACCAAATAATTTTGGTAGGGGGCTCAACCCGTATGCCAATGGTGGAAACATTGCTCGAAACAAAATTCGGCCAGAAAAAAATTAACAAAACAGTCAATCCGGATGAAGTAGTGGCTGTTGGAGCTGCTATTCAGGGTGCCGTGTTAGCCGGGGACTTTGGTCGCGACATTGTGCTTTCAGACGTTACTTCCTTGTCTTTGGGTATTGCCGTTCAAGGAGCCCGCGGGGAAGGAGAAGTTAACGATATAATTATCCCGCGAAATACTACTATCCCAACTTCGGCTACTCGAATTTACTCCACGGCCGAGGATAATCAACCAAGCGTTCATATTCGACCCCTCCAAGGTGAGAGACCTCGTGCCGTAGACAATAAAGTATTGGGTAGTTTTGAATTAAGCGGTATTGAACCCGCTCCGCGTGGCGTTCCCCAAATTGAAGTCGCCTTTAATATTGACGCCAACGGAATAGTTAATGTGACCGCTCAAGACAAGAAAACCGGCAAAAAAGCTGAAATTACTATTCGAGACAGCCAAAATTTAAGCGAAGCTGAAATTCAAAGAATGTGTCGGGAGGCCGAAGAAAACAAGGAAAAAGACGAGGAATGAAAAGCCAATACTGAATTACTTAACAAAGGAGAAACTTATTGTTACACTTTCGAAAAACAAGTCGAAGAGTTTAAAAAACATAAGAATTTTCGAGAAGACGATGCTTCCTTCCAACGTTTTCAAGAATTATTAAGCGCTCTCAAAAAAGCCGTGGAAGAAAAAAATTATCCGGAATTGCAAAAGCAACTTAAACAAGTCGAAGAATTAATGAAATTAGCCAACGAGTTAAGTCAAAAAATGCCTAAACAAGCCGAAGGGGAGAAAAAAGAAGAAGAAGTTGTAGATGTGGAACCGGAAAAAGAATAATATACAATTATAATAAAACCCAAGAAAAAAAAATGAATACAAATAATCAACAAATTTTAGAAGAATTACAAGAAAAAGAAAAAAATAATTTTAAGTGATTAATAATTAGTTTAGCGGGATTAGCAGGTTCATTGCCTCTTTCTACGTTTATTGGACATTGAAGTGGATGAGTTTATGATGGTGTGACTAAAAATAACTGGAAAATTTTTGATAGTGGTGGTGGAAAAAGCACTGAGTGAATGGTTTATGGCCTTTTAATAGGAGCAACAATAGCAACTATATTTATCGTCCCCTCGTTGATTTTTTTTGTCAAGTGATTAAAATCCAGTAACGAGAGAGAGAGAGAGAGAGAGAGAGAACAAACCGGCCGAGTTTTAGTTTAGTTCCACTTAACCAAGTAAGTAATTTCGTGGTTTAAGATTTTTTGAATAAAAATGCCAGATACGAGTAATGACTTCCAAAAAAGGATGCGGGAAATTATTACTTTGCTGGAAAAATGAAATTACGAGTATTATGTTCTTAATGAGCCGACAGTTGCCGACAAAGTTTACGATCAATATTTTCACGAGTTAGAGCAATTAGAACGAGAAAATAATTTTACTTTTCCGGATTCTCCTACGCAAAAAATAGGTTTTCTGGGCGGAAAAAAACTTCGCTTAGTGACACGACCTAATCCCATGCTAAGTTTGGATAGCGTGGATAATTACGAGGATTTATTGCGTTTTGACGAAAGAGTGAAAAAAATATTAAAAACCGAGGCTGAAATTGAATATGTTTGTGAGTGGAAAATTGACGGGTTATCAGTTAGTTTGCTTTATCGGAACTCAGAGTTAACCCAAATCAGCACTCGGGGAAACGGAATGGTGGGCGAAGACGTCACTTTTAATAAAGAATTATTAAAAAATGTTCCTTTTTCTTTATCCCAAGTTAACGAGTGCGAAGTGCGGGGTGAAATTTGCATGAAAAAAGCCGAGTTTTTTCGTCTTAACCAAGAACTACAAAAAAACCATGGTAAACTGCTAGCCAATCCTCGGAACGCAGCCTCGGGCAGCCTCCGCACTCTACTTCCTTTACAAAACAGGAACTTACATTTCTTTGCTTATCAACTGTTTAACGACAACTTACCAAATCAATTGTCTTGTTTACAACAACTAGAAAAATTAGGATTTGCTGTTAGCCCGGATTATCATCGGTGTCAAAATATTCACGAAGTCGCCAAATTTATTACCTCCCAGCAAAAAAAACGAGAAGCCTTAGATTTTGAAAGTGATGGAGTAGTGGTTAAGGTCAATGATTATAAATACTATGAAAAACTAGGACAAACCAGCCGTTTTCCTCGTTGAGCCATTGCTTATAAGTTTCCGGCTTCGCTGGCTACTAGCCAAATTATAAATATTTGTCCGGAAGTGAGCCGCAGCGGACGTATAACTTATGTGGCAGAAATAACGCCGGTTAATCTCCGCGGAAGTCAAATTAACAAAGCCACTTTACATAATTACGCTTTTATTCGTAATCTCGCTTTAAATATTGGCGACGAAGTAGTAATCAAAAAAGCCGGGGATGTTATTCCCCAAGTTAGTCAAGTAATTAAGTCAAGCAGCAATTCTCCGTGATTGCCGCCCGCTAATTGTCCTTCGTGTCAAGAAACTCTAACCTGAAATTTAAGTAATATTTACCAAGTTTGCACTAAGGTTAATTGCCCGCAAAAAGTTATTAATTTTCTTACGCATTTTGCCTCCAAAATTGGTTTAGATATTAAAGGGGTTAGCGAAAAAATTATCGCTAAATTATACCAAAAAAACCTGCTGCAAAAACCGACCGATTTTTACCAACTAAAAAATAAGGAACCAGAGTTATTACAACTAGAAGGGTTTCAGAAAAAAATGTTAAGCAATATTTTTCGTGCTGTTGAAAACTCTAAAAAAAAACCCTTAGCCAGTTTGTTAACTGCTCTGGGTATTCCTCTGCTTAGTTCAGTCAAAGCCCAAAAGTTAACTAGTTTTTTTCCT